AAGCCTTCATTTTTGGTAAAGGGTCAGCTAATAAATATTTCCCAATCTCTGATCTGGAGCTTCCTAAAGAGAGATTATTCTAAGTAACCAGATCCTGTATAATCTAAGGAGGATACTGCATGTCTGACTACTTTGGTGCCATGCCAATAGTTCAGCATCTTTACTAGCCACCACAGAAGAGGATCATCCCTCAAAAGATTTTGGAGTTTAGTGTTTCACTCTGAAACAAGGTAAGAAGAGCAACCTTTACTGGTTAACAGGAGTGTCTAATAAAATTGGCTCACTCAACTGCTGTCAATTTTTTTCTCTGCTCAATGTCCTAAATGATTACAGTATACACTCACTAGGGAGGCTTAGTTGATTTAAATTCACACTAGTGACTAGCATCCTTCTAGAAGCCTGGTGCATTACAAAACAAATGTTTAGACAGCAGATACAAGATCAATCAGTGACATATGCTGTTTTCATTACTGGGTTATTGTTATTAATAGGGCACAATGATGGGCCCCTTAATTTCACAACTTAGATCTTTCTTCTCCTGGCTTTACTGAGAGATATAATTGTCCCAACTGAATTCTTAAAACAATTTGACAAGTATCCAGTTTTACAGATGAGGAAACTGGAGCTCAGTGTGAATAAAAGATTTACCCAGGGTCAAAGAACCGAAAAGTCAGAGCTTGGGTTTGAGTCTAGATCTATATGAATTCAAATGTGATGCCTTTTATTTCACCACAGGTGGATCTCATATTGGTAATTCATAAATTTAAAGACACTACCACATATTACTTACTCCCTGGCCACTATGCCAGATTCAAAGTGTTGTTTTGTTGGTTGTTTTGGTTTTTGACAGTCAAGCTTCAACTACATTAAAACAGAATCGGTATTTACTTTGTCAGACGTTTAGTCTCTAACCCCTTCCAAGCCTGAGTTTCCTTATCTGTAAAATGGGTTTGGTAATAGTTTCAGAGAACTACTGGTGAATTGAGCAAGTACTAGCACATAGGAAATTCTTCATAAGTAGGGCCTACAGTCAAAAGTGCTAAGCTTTATGCTGTCTTAAGTGTTCATGTTTAAGTTTTTGTGTAAAATGAGGGGTGAGGCTCATTACCTTTAGGAGACCTGTTCTGGCCCAATCCATCTGAGACACAGGTGTTAAGCAACAATAAAAAAAAAGTATTGAAACAATGAAGCCATTGATTATAAATATCTTGGAATGCCATCCCATAAGACAGGAACTATGCTGAGGACATTAGCACAATACTTACTTGGAACATAAGTTTGGGATATGTGGATAGAAATTAACAACAGAATTATATTGTCTAGTTAAAAGAGAACATTCAATGAAAATAAAATCAAGACTAGTTTTCTTCAGCAAAACTGGGGGATATAGATTAGTTTGAAAGCCCCTTTAAAAATGCATTAAACAAAATCCTAGGACAGACATTATTAACAACCTAATTTATGGTAACACACTCATGGACTTCATTTTTCTGTTAATACGCTCTTTCTTTTCTCTTTGCTAGCCAGACCTGTCATGTACCAAGCACCCTCTTTTTGTTCCCATCACCTTTGTTATAAAACACTTCCTTATAATGCCCAACATGCCTGCTTCCCACAGCTAGGATTACATGGAAGGTGGGACATTCTCAAACTTTTTTGTACATATTGCTGTAACATGCCCTAATTTTGTATTATATCAACCAGATCCCGTATCCTCTTACTGAATGGCCTACTCATTGAGTTGCCTAAGCTACTGTGACTAAGCTACTTCTCAAGTATCTGGTTCCCATAGAGACAGAACAGCTATCACATTGTCAGGCATTCATTTCTTTATATGCCTGGAGAGTAAGGCCCAACCACATGCTCCCTTAACAATGCTCAGGGACACCACCAAAACTGTGTTCCAAGAAAGAAGGCTTGCCCTTCAACTGCTTTAAGACTTCTCTCCTTAGTGAAAGGAATGAAAGGGAGGCAAGGTATTGGGATCAGCTTGGTTGTTAGCATTGTTTAGAAGAATTCTTGTTGAATCACACATTTGAGAACAAATTTGAGAACAAATTCTTCCTGACTCTGAAGTTCTCTAATAAAGAGAACATTAAGCAAGCTTCCTTGCATGCTTCAAGCTACAATTCAACATCCTCAGCAATGTGTCTTCAGAAGGGATGCCTCATAGCATTGAGCCAACAGGTGTTCACTGCAAAGAAGGTATTCACAAACATTTCAGGTGAAATCAGATTTAGAGTGTCTGAGGACCTTCCGATCCTGAGCTGTGTACTGTCAACATTAAACCTGTTATTTGAAGGCTTGTCCATTCCCATATGTCCCAGGCTCACCTTCCATCCACCTTCTTGCCTGGTCCAAGAGATGTCTTCCTCCTCTCAACAAGTACATGATTAGCCTCCCAGCTGCTTAGGACAAAAACCTGGGAATTTTTTTTCATTCGTCTCTATTACTGCCCACCAGTCCAAATGGAATCCTTTGTAAATTCTATTTCTCTATTTGCAACAGAATCCATAATCCAGTTAGTTCTTTCCATCTCTACTGCTAATACATCAAGTCACCCCTAATACCTCTTTTCTTTTCCCCAACCCTCTTTCCCCACCATTGGTTCTCCACATACAGCCAAAATAATCTAAATCAGATTGTGTCATGCTCTTGCTTGAAGTCCTCTAGTGACTTCCTATGGCATGTGCAATGAGATGGGCCTTCTTGACATGGCTTGTACTTGCCCTCATCCCAGCCCACATCTTAACTCTGCATCTTCGTCACTCAGCTCACCCACATTCGCTTCTCTGTCCCTCAAATATCAAACCCTTTCCTGCTTTCATGCTCACTACTTCCTCTGCTTAGAACTCTCTTTCTCTTGATGGTTACATTCTCAACCAACCTTTTAGTCTGACCTCAGGTTCAAAGTTGTGCTCAGGAAGACCTTCCTGAACCAAGCTTTCTGAGGTTACTTTCTCCCCAACCCCTGTTAACCTATAAATGAATGGTTAACTTACATTTAAATATTTCAGATCACTCATATTTGGTTTTAGAAATTATATGAGATAAAACTTTTTATCACACACTCTTGTATGAGAAAACTAAACTAACAAAATACCATTTGATGAAGCCTCAAAATACTAATGGTGGACACTTTTAAAAATAAAATTTGTGCTATTGTAATATTTGGTTTAGATATTGTTGAGAATCCGAATGCAAAACTCTAAGCTGCCAGGGGTTTCTAGGTTAGGTGTGAATTCCATGTGTAAACCAATGATTTATGGCCAGGGACTGACATCAGTTCATTGGGTCATGGGATGCTCACTACCTTACCCGAAGTTGACCCCTTTCAGTGGTGAACAGAGCCCTTGTCAAGACAACTCTCATTGCATCAATCTGGCCCTTAGTGCAAAAGCTTTCAAAGACTCAATACTTTCTAGATGGTTTTCAAATGCTGGTGTTCTAAGTGCATGCTCTTTTCAATGATTTTGTGTGAGTTCCAAGGCTTCCTTTCCTAGGAGTTAGTTGTAGGGACATTAAAATGTTTCAGTTAAGAAGATCTTCAGGATTCCTCCTACTAATTACACATGGATATTTTAGCTATTAATCTCTAGTAGTAGTTTTGTAGAAATATTAGTTTTGTAGTAATTCTTCATAGAAGGAAGAATATAAAAAACACCACAGAAAATATTTATTGAATCCTTATTATGTGGTAGCCACAAAGTAGAGACTTTCTTTGAATGATTGATTCTAATGGCTTTTTTTCTCTTAATAATCATGCTGTATTTTTGTTCACTGTCTTCTTATGAACTATTAACAATAATTAGATGGGGCATTTTGTGTTTTACAGATATCTTATTTCTAAAGAGAAATCTAAAGGGTGGCATATTCTAGAATATTCTCACTCTTACAAATGTGCATTTTTTCCAGGCCTTTTTTGCTATTAGGTATAACTTCAGGGTTATGAGAATGAAAGTTGCACTGTGACGTTCAACTGATAATTCCTCAACTTTCACTGCCAAACTATACCTACATGGCAGGCATTCAATATATATTTGTTGAAAGAGTGGGTGCCTGGATAAATACTGTAATGACAGCATGCACATTTTGTGGGTATCAATTTTAACATTTAATTATGATAAACACCTGGAGTCACCAAGACACAGAATTCAGTTCCTAAGGCTCTGAACCTGATGTAAGACTTATGATTTCTTTAAAGATTAAAAAAATGAGAAATACCATATTCACAGGATAACTTCAGAAATTACCTAGGGCCACTTTAAATAATAAGGTTTTTGTGTGGGAAAGGTTTATGAAACCACCAAGGAATAGACCAAAAAGAATTTTTTTTTCCAAAAAGAATTTCTAAGGTTTTTGAGAAGCCCAAAAGCAGAACATTGAGGCTGAATTCCTACTTGTAGAAGGTGGTCTGTAATATTCCTTTTTACTTACCACACCAAGTATTATAACAACTCAGACATGGAGGTATTTGTTCTATGGTCATTCTAGGCCCAATTTTACATACCATTCACATAAATATAGCCTCATAGCAAAGGGATTTATAAAGACACTCATAACAGGTATTTTGAAAGCAAAATACTAACACTGTTAATCACTGAAGACAATAACATGTAAAATACTTGCTCCATGAATATGTTGCAGATAAAAAAGTAAAAGAACAGTGCATATAAAAAATACAAAATCTTTATGTCACCTATATTTTAATATTTCATCCTAGAATAGTATTCAAACACTTATTCATTAGAGTCTGAAATAAGTATGAATTTAATTGCATAAAGTTTACCTCATTTTTAAGGACCTAAAAACAACCTCCTTTTGTTCATTTATATGTTTTTGCCTTACATATATATTTGACTATATCAATAAATTAAGTAGTTCTCCCTTTCATATTTTAGATTATTTACAGTTAAACCACATTCCCATCTGGACAAAAAATTCAGTTCTAGGCATATTTACTCTAAAGAAATTAAAAACTGATGTCTCTTGGTACTCACCCTTCCATATCTGTTGGCATAGGACCCAGTAAGCAAGGAATGGAATACAATGATTGTCTCATCCAAGTCCCAGATGAAAACCCTCTACAAAAGAAGAACTGAATCAATATAGCTTTTCTTTGGTTGAAGAAACCTGTTATTCAGTTAACCTCAGCATAAATAAGCAGTCTTGAAATAGAAGACAAGGAAAAATCTGAATTTACTATGTTTTTAAAATACAACTGTTCCAGAGTATCCCCCAGCTTTTCTCCAGAGTACATAACCTCAGGTAATTATATTAATTATACTAGTGACATCAACACCAACATGAGCAAGCAATAATAAATGTCCTTTCTACTTTGAAGTAGATTCTCAGTTCTCTATTCTGAAAAAATGAATAATGAGCTAAAACTGGTTTATAACTTCTTGAGATAGAGAAGAGCCAATCAATTAAAAAATCATTCCAGTTTTCTTTCCTCTTCTCTACTTATTAAGCATTAAAATAGTGAATCTTACATTTTATTTTTATCAAGCTAAGTATTAAAAACCTGCACATAAAACTTAAAACTTCGTATCATCTATTCACCTTATGATTGTTATCACATGGATGGGTTATGCATGAACTCCTGCCTCGTTTTCTTCAGATTACAGATAGTTAACAATATAAGCAGACACATCACACATGCTCTTGACACACTTGAGATATCTGGAATTGGATTTGAAGGAATTCACTTCAAAAACATCTTTGAGATACCACAAAGGCTTCCCAAGCCTACTTTTCTTCTTCCTCTTTCCACTCATATCAGTATATATTCATACACATAGGTTCTTCTGGGAAATTTCCATCTTTTCGGCCAAAATAATGTTTTCCACCATCAGATTTCATTAGGCGAAACCCAGAAACTTAACTGCAGTGGATTCAAGGCTATGAAATCTACCCTTCAAGGTTTTATTTAATCCCTCCTGCTTTTGAACTCGACCAAAACAGGTCTCATAAAATGACAACCATTTCAGTTTAGAATATCCCAGCTTTTCCTTTCTCAACATATATAAATGTGTCCAATTTTCAAAGTGGACTTTAGTAAGCATTTTTAGTATGATACTTACTCAATTAAAATGTCAATGACAGCAAGATAAGAGAATTTTGTACAAGCAAAATTATATAATTCACTATATTAGAAAGAAATAACCAGATGCTTTACATGTAGTTAAAATGGCAGAAAAAACATAAATAATTATTTTTACCTATAGGTGATAATAAAAAGAAAATAATGCTTTACTTATGATATAGAGAAGAAAGCAATAACAAAGCATTTGGGCATCTTGATGGCCATTTACATTGCAGGTATACAGAACCACCATTTAACTACCAGGATACCTTATTATTTACTAGGGCATTGGCAATGACGTACCTCAAGATCAGAATCTGGGGGAGGTGAAGGATTATTGTTTCTTCGGCCCCGTCCACGTGACTTCCCATCTGAACCTCGACGCAATCGATCAGAATCTGAGTCTTTAATGGGTGTTGACGGGCTGTGGATTGTACTGTACTCTGTAGAAATACAGGAAGGTCTTTCATCTTTTGGTTCTATTACCCTGGTGTCAAGATCAACCTTGTTTTGATTCATGGGGAAGCTTGAAAAGTAAAACACATTTCATTCTGTTCGTCTTCATTACGTTTACTTCCATTGATAAATAATTTATGAGATATTTGATTCCAAGAATCCATTCTTTTGAAAGAATGTGTGATCAGAAATGAATAAAATTAAATTGAGGGTGGAAGACAGCAGGTTGTAGTAAGCTGCTTACTTTTTCTTTGTGGTTCTCCATGATGAGACAAAGCTCCCCTATCCCCACTTCCACACTTGTGTCTTTCTTTCCATAAATAGTGCCTGGCCATACATACATGTGCCTTACCAGCCCCTCTCCGACCTACAAAAAGGTTTTTGGTTCAGAGAAAGAAAAGAAAAATCAACTCTATGGCAGGAAAAAAACAAATTAGCAGGCAGATTTTTCATTGAACATTTCAAAACCTCCTTTTTCTCTCTCATTTTATGTGAGAACAAGGGAGTGGCAAGATAAGGAAGACCAGATATATGGGCACTGCCCATACTCTGTACAGCATTCATCACAGATTCTTCCTGTATTTTAGTCTCTGAACCAAAAACCTCAAACAGCACATTAAAATTGCTCATCTGGGTAACTCAGAGAAATCATGGAAATAATTATATAGAAACTACAAAATAAAGAACAACCTCCAATCAGCTAGAGGAATGGCTGAGTAGTGAAGGGGGACACTCTTACTCTGCTTCCAAAATGAATAAAACCTCTTATAGTCTCTTCTTCTAAGAGTTCACCCATCAGACAATTTCTATCTCCCCAAATTCCAGATGTGCCAGTGTGCTGCCTATCCACCCCAAACTCTCTGCCAGATTTCTCTACTGGATGTGGGTTGGAATCTCTCAAGCTGATATAAGGAAGGAGAATTTTCATTGAGATGCTGATATTGCATTTCACCAAACAGAAAAGTATTGAGGACAGGTGAATACCTGGTAGCCTTTATTATATACTATCATCCTTGACTGTCCCAACAAGGCTAGCCATGTCAAACCACATGGTCTCAGTAAGTTTAAGACTTAGGAATTTCAGTGGATATGAATGGACTTTACAGAGTAAATTCCATTTCTAAATCACATGGAACAGCCCTACAGCTCCTGCTTAATTTTAAAATCTAAACAGATTCCTATTACTTTTAGATGAGACTTTTTTGCATGTCCTCTGCCATAGGAAATAAGACCAGCAAACTTCATCATATATACCAGCAATGTGTGATCCTTATACTCAGAAATCATTATGATACTTACAAGCCTATTAGTTAATTATGGCCAGAAAATCCAAAACAACTCCACTTACTATGTCAGCTTATGTAGTTATATGGGATGCATTTTTGAGCTAATCCATCTTACAGAACAATCAGAATACAGTGCTGGCTAGTTCATGTTTAACATTCTCCAAATCCCTATTAGATTGTTTTCTTGCAGAGGCAGAAGACTGTGGCATCTTCTCAAATGTTCCAAGCCAAGCATCTGCCTTCCATGTTTTATAGAAAATTAGGAGCACAAAAAAAAAAAAAAAAAAAAAAAAACCACCAAAAAACATATTTTTAAAGGGGTCCGTGAATTCAAAGTTGTATTTTAAAGAAAAAGTCCTGACCTTTTTCTTTTTTTTTCTGACCTTCTTTTTCTTTAAAAATTCTGCAACTACATCTCTATGCAAACCTGGATAGCCACCATTTGAGACAGAACACATGCCAATCTCTAACAGTTTCAAGACAGAGCATTTACTTTGCAACTGGCACAAGGGGCATCTAATTGGACTCATACTTCAAGTACTTGACTTCAAAGTCCATCTTGACTTGTGAGCTTTCCACATTTTGAAGTTCATATTTGACAAAAAGCTAAAAGATGCTAAGCAATGTATCTTATTGCATTATGTCTTTTGCTTCCACTTCCAGCTAGTTTAGGGTGAATTCTCTCCTCCAACTAGTTTATCTTATTGAGGTTTTCTTACCCTAGATTTCTTTGTATGGATTGCCCATTCCTTTTCTTGGTGTGTATTTCTTTATACCTGCATTAGAACTAATTAAATCTTTGTAAATATATTCCACCCACTTTTTTGGGAGGGGAAATAAAAAAGTGATAAATTGATTACTCACTTCTGTAAACCTGGCCCCAAAGAAAATAAGTTCAATGGGCAAAGTATAAAGGGGGATTTTTAAATCATCTAAAGTTTTTCCAGGTGGAGAAAAAGCCCTAAAATATGGACAATCTGATACGTCTAAATATTAAAACACATACACACACACACTTTATAGGCCTCAATTTATTAGAAGATAAATTTTTTTAAAAATAGATTTTATTTATTTATTCATGAGAAACACACACACAGAGGGAGAGAGAGAGAGAGAGGCAGAGACACAGGCAGAGTGAGAAGCAGGCTTCATGCAGGGAGCCCGATGTGGGACGAGATCCCGGGACTCCAGGATCATGCCCTGGGCCGAAGGCAGGTGCTAAACTGTTGAGCTACCCAGGGATCCCCGAAAGATAAAATTTAAATGATTCAAGCTAGATTTTTAAAAATATTTTATTTGTTTATTCACGAAAGAGAGAGAGAGAGAGAGAGACAGAGACAGAGACACAAGAAGGAGGAGAAGCAGGCTCCATGCAGGGAGCTTGATGTGGGACTCGATCTCAGGTCTCCAGGATAAGGCCCTGGACTGAAGGCAGTGCTAAACTGCTGAGCCACCTGGGCTGCCCAATGCAGGCTAGATTTAAAAAAGAAAAAAAATCTCTTCCTCTTTGTTCTATGAGGTGGGATTAAACACTTCTACTCTCCTAACCAGTTTTCCTGATTCTATTCTTTTCCTTCTATTAGTGTAAAACAACTCAACAAATAATTTAATCTTCTAATCCACTGACATCTCATATTTCATTAAAATCCTTTCCAAATTATTCAACTTTACCCCCACTTAGATAATGAATGTGAAAATCCTCAGAGGAGCATTTATTTAACAAACAATGACTAAATGTCCACCCCACTCCAGGCACTGTATCAGGAGCTTGAAGTATAATGATGTATCATACAGATATGGTTGTCATGGAGCTTAAAATTCAGAGGAAGGTACTGATTTATGAACAAAAGTAAGATATTAGAAAACAATTAGGAAGGGTTATGGCATAAGAAAGGTAGAATGCTGGGAAACCACAGAGTAAGTTCACATAACTTAGATTTACAGGATTATAGAAGCTTCTTGAAAATGGGGGACAAAATTACCAGTGGAAAAATAGACTATAAAAGTTCTCTAGGCAGGTGCATGAACATGTGTGAAGGTGGAGAGAGAGAACATGTGCAAGCATGTCAAAGAATTGAAAAAAATCAATCTGACCCGACTCTCTAGAAAAAGAGTACAGAGATGAGGCTGGAATGGCAGGCAAAGAATAAAGGAGAGAGGGATGAAATCAAATTTACACCTTAGAGGATTCTAGTTCCAATGTGCTGTGAGTATTGGAGGCAAATCAAGACTGAGAAGCAGAGACCAAGGTAGGAAAAGTGAATTCAGTGAGGATTGGTGGTGGCCCATGCAGGTCACGGAGATTGTACAGATCTGAAGTGTATTGATTTCACTGGGAGAGAAATCAATAACTAATTGGATAAGAAAGAAGGAGGAAGTGAAGGAAGATGCTTTTGTCAGTGGTTTAACAACTGGGAAGATGAAGATGAAGCTATAAGGTATGGGATTTAGGAAGAAGGGATTATGGGGAAGTGTGTAGATGAGAATTCACATTCAGCTTTGGACATGCTGAACTTGAAGATTGTATGCAGTAATCAAGATGTCCAGTTGGCTGTTAGACTACCCTAAAGCTCAGGAAAGACATGTAGGCTGGGTTTAGGTTTGGAAACTGATGCCATACATTATGTAATTAAAGAAATGGGTATAATTAAAGACATGGAGGTATAGGAAGAGACAGGCAGAGAAAAACGGATAGGGCTGGAGATAACTGGGTGGCTTAGCTGTTTAGCACCTGCCTTCAGCCCAGGGCATGATCCTGGAGTCCCAGGATCGAGTCCCACATCCGGCTCCTTGCATGGAGCCTGCTTCTCCCTCTGCCTGTCTCTGTCTCTCTCTCTGTGTCTCTCATGAATAAATAAAATCTTAAAAAAAAATGGGTGGGGTCTTAGGAGGAAAACCAAGGTTAGCATGTTATAGAGGAAAGAGTATCAGGAAGGAGAGAGTAATCAGTAACATCAAAATTGAATCCAATAGTATTTAGATTTAGAGTTAATGACATCTTTGGCAAACTGCCAAAGGAATAGATTTGAGAAGTATTTAGGAGGTATATTGGTGGGATAAAAATGAGACAGCAGAAGGTACAATAGTAAGGAGTCAAAATTCCCAACGTGTTACTGAAGACCCTATAATAGCCAAATTCAATAATTGTTTTTAGTTCTTATTAACCTTATTTAACCTCTCTGTGACTGTCCTGAACACTGGCTACTTTAAACTGTGTCACATCAGAGTAACCTGACTTCCCCTTTTTCTGCTTCTTATCCTACTACTCACGCTATTAGTTTTGCCTCTTTAGAGACCTTTTCCTCTAACCCAAAGCTTAAATATTAGTGTTTTTTGTATTATTGATACTCAAAGTGCTCTCTGGGACAAAATAAGGAGCTTGTATCAGAATGTTAATTACTGCAATCCCCCCCTCATCAAAAGTCTTGCTATGATTAAAAAGAAAAGTAAACAATGTGCTTAGTGATGCAGTTGATTACATTCTGAAGCAAATCCTTATGTTATATGGACTATTAATAAACAATTAGTGGATAGGTAGATAGTTGGTAGGCTATACCTTGAGCAGCAGTACAAGACAATTTTCTCTATCTCACTAAAAGCTCTCAGCAGTTTGAAGTATTTGTAAGAGGGATTTCAATGATAACTTCCAGGCTGAATACGCCACTACTTACTAGACCTCTCTATTTGAATATTCCAGGGGC